CTACATTTCAATGACGTCAACACATATGTACCATATGGGACAGTTGGTCATGAACCATTGCACAAGATTCGGCATATCATAAATCTGTTGCATGATAAATTTGAGAATAATTTCTATCCAAATCAAAAAGTATCTCTGGATGTTGGGACGTGTCCTTTCACAGGACGACTCAGATTTCGAACTTATAATCTAGCCAAACCGCATAAGTGGGGAATCAAATTATACCAAACTTTACGATGCCTTGTCTCTTAGAAAAATACATGTGCATCAGGATCACAAAAAAACAATATACAAAAAAAACTGCGTACATGTGTGAGTTGTGCAAAGTGCCACTTTGCGTCACTCCTTGTTTCAAAAAATACCATACTCAGCAGCAGTATTGGGGGGAATGATATTATATTGCAGTTTATCAGTGCTTTTATTTATTTTTTTCACTTATTCTTACACTCGTTGTATATATACATTTTTCGATACAATTATTTCCACAGTGTTTTCTAAAAGCACCCTTGGTATATCTTATGCATTGCATATATATGTATCATCAGTGTTTTTTTTATTTCCTCCATCATTTGTTATCACTGTTCAGTTCATTTCTTTAATTTGAGTTGTTGTTTTTCACAAAAAAAATTCGGTGTTTTTTCGGTGTTTTCATATGCTCTTTATGAAAAGTAAGGTATGGGTTAGACAAAAAATGATTTTTTTGTTTTTTTTTTCTAGATTTACAATAGCCTATATATTTTGGTCTCCAAATTTGGTGGCTGTGGCTTGTATAGTTTTCTTGTGAGTAAACCGTTTTCAATATCTATCGAAACCTTGCGTTTTTGATCAATTTCGCTAATATTTACTAAAAGTGAAAACATCAATTAGTTTGACGTAAAAAATTCGGCGAATCGATTAGAATATTCAAAAAATGAAAGGCATTGCCATGTAGGACTTCTTTAGCTCTCTCAAGCGCAACCGAATGCGTGTTCATGGGGTCAGTAGTTCATGTTTGAGTTCGAATTAAAAACATAGCTTATTTAGGGGGTTTAATGCGGGTACAGGTGGGTGCAAGTGAATTTGACCTTGGGGCTGTAAGAGTTGAGAGGAATATTTGTATTATTATTATTTCAATCATTCAACGATGAAACAAGCTCATCTATAAATCGCGCTTCCCTTGGCGGCTGGCCCCTGAAAAACAGTAGAAGCGGATTTCGCGCGCTGTGTGGACAAGTATGATCGGAAAAGAGGAAAAAATTGGTTTGAAATGTTTTTACATAAACTGGAAAAGGGAGCTTTTTTCGGGACTCGGACAACATATAGTCATTTCCTTGTAAAGTTGATCAATGTTAGTGTTAAATATTAGTAGTTCCATTGAAGTTGTGGGGATTTCAAGAAATTCACACATCATCTTTTTTTATGATGTTGTTCCAGAACAACGTTACAGAACTCGATGATGACGTCATCATTTTTAGTATATATAGTATTGACATCGTAAATACTTCATTTCAATATAAAAATAGTTTTTTCGGCGTAAGCGAAAAAGTCATGAATGAAAGAATTAAGATTTAGATTTAACAAAAGTAAAGCTAACTTACTCTGGAATCATGATCGGTAAATAACAATTTTAAAATGCATTGTGAATCATAGTCAACCATTTCACGAATTCCGTAGTTTAAGAACCCTTGAGTTAGACCATTGTTATCTGAGATAACCTTATTAATTAGTTCAGAAGGAAAGCTGTATTCCAGTGGGATTTTTCCGAATTTTACATGTGTGATACGCCGACCACGTTCTATTCAATTAAGTATTTTCATCATCGTTAGCTTATCTCTCACAACTCAATTTCTATTTGTTGATTTTGCTATTTTTTATTCTTATTTCAGATTGATAAATAATAGCCTAAAAGCCTTTTATCCAGTACATTTATATATTTCATCCAGTATATTTATATATATTGTGATCAGTTCGCTTTTTTTTCAATTTTGCAATGAATTAGATTAAGATACTTACAACTAAAATGACAAAGGTAAAACAAAGTAAGTTGCACGGATGTAATATTTGTGGTAAAAATGTACGTTCGATTAGTCATCTCAGATATCATCAAACGACACACACTGGAAAACGACCACATAAGTTTGAAATCTGTGGTAAATGATTTCCTAGCAATAGTAACTTGATTGAGACACCATTTGCGATTGCACGTTTCCCATAAGCCACAAACTCAATAGAAATGCGGACAAAAACTATCCACGTGAGACAACATACGGGAGAAAGACCAAGCATATTAATCGACATTCTAAAAAATTCGCATGTGAAATATGTGACAGACCATTTGGATGTCGTTCTGCATTGACAGATCACATGTCCACTCATACCAACAAAAATTATATTCAAGCAAAAACAATTTATACCGGCATATGAGAAGCCATACAAATGATACCCCCATTGAGATCTGAAATATGCGGTGTCACCAAATTGGAACAATCTGTTTTGAATATTCATATGCGTACACATACAGGTCAAAAAACGTTTATCTGTAAATTATGTGGGAGAGCATTTAGTCAACAAGGCATTCTGAATACTCATTTGCAATCGGTACATTCCAACAAAAAGCCTTATAAATGTGAGATATGTGGGAAGAGATTCGCCGTACAAATATATGTCAACGTCCATGTAAAGAAAACTCATTTGAAATGCAAAAGTATACCGAACACAACCAAATTAAAGTTGAGCAGCAACCAACTAATCACATGTATTCGAAATGCACCGTTCAAAACAAAAAGATAATACAGATTGAATTGAAAACGCCCCGAGCAATTGATATCAAAAAAGAGTTGCATTTGGGATTTGATCACAAATAACTTGATTATATGCACTTTGCTCTCACCGTTGATTCAGATATGGCACACTTCCGATGGACGGAAGGTATACTTGCTCCGTGATAGGACCCTCTTTCGGGTAATTCTTCACACACAACTGGGGTATTTGAAGTCGAGCCCGCGTCGGCTAATACGAAGTACTTTTTTCTTGGTTGAGGTTGATATTCGGCCTCCACCACCGATCCTATTTTTGAAACATTTAACAGATTCTGTCGAACTCAACCAACCTAGACGTGCATGTAAATTATTTTTTCCTTATTGATTAGAAATGAGTCCTAAATTGAAACGAATAATAAATGATGTGTTTATGAATATTATCGCAATAACAGCCGTAGTAATAAACATGGTTTTTTGTGGGAACTATAATTTGTAATGTGGCCGGGGATGGATACCGGTATGAAAATTTGATATATAAGCTTTAACGTTATACTTTGCGTTGGTTCATCGCCTCCTTACAAACAGAAAAAAAACTTGTTAATCTAATCCTAGAAAAGCGTACACAACGGAGACTGTTTATGTAAGTTTAGGCGTTTTTTCAGATATTTATATCCGTCGTACATGAAATGGTTCACAATTAAAAAAAATCAATAAATAGAGAAAAAATAACGGCCATACAATATTACAATTGTAAATGACGAGGAGCCGCGAAAAAACTATACAGTAAGCGCGTTAGCGACACCAAAAATCTCTGTGTTCAGCAGCGGACAACGTCAAATAACTTGTGAACTTGAACGTAGCAAGTTTACTTTCCATACGAAAAACGTCATTTACGCAAATTCGTACTCGTGAAGCGACCAACGACTTGTAAACGATACACGGGGGAATTTACGCATTACATCCAGCCTCAAAACCTGTTCGACTAAATCACACAATATGCAGTGTTATTGCCGTTTAATTACATAAAAATATGAAAAACAGTAATGGCAAAAAATAGCAAAATTTGTCTGACTAGCAACACACAATATTTTATGTTTTTGATGAATTAATTTGGAAAATGTTAGTCGAATTGAGAGAGTCAGTTAGGGAAGAATTATTTAATTTAAATAGAAAACGAGGGAGTTTGTTGACGTCCATGCCTTCGAAAACAAATAATTAACTAATCCTATACCCGACATGGAATGGTAACCGGACGAGAGGCCGTGGTTCGCCATATGGTTAAGCCGTCTTATAGGCTTCCTTCTCCCCCGGGATAAATATGTAAATCCTACTAAAATTGCTGGATTGGAGCTATTTAAATAAGTCATGAAACAGAAATTGCAATTTTTTCACTTGACATTTCAACCAGTGTTTTTTTTTTATGACAAATCATGGTTGCAATTCCAAATGCTTTCCAGTTAAAAAGTGTGGAATTAAGATGACATGTGTTGCAACTCGCAAGCATTGCATTGTTGAAAGAGCCCTCGCGTTCACAAAGAGTCTAGCGCCGTAAAAGATAAACTTAAAACTTTATCGGAAGTGAACATGATAATGAAAGCATAGAGCCCTCGAGTTCACAAAGAGCTTAGCGCCATGAAAAATTAACTTGGAACTTTATTGGAAGTAAACATGATAATAAACGCTTTGAGTCCTCGCGTTCACAAAGAGTCTAGCGCCATGAAAGTTTGCTCAATGGACATGGACGTGGAGGCTCGATGTTTCTCTTTCATGATGCTACCCTTTTTGTAAATGCGAGGACTTTGATATATTATGTCCTATTTTATTTAATAATACAGACAACATATCCTTTGTTAACTATCATGCATTTTCTTGGCTTGTCAAATTTTGTATGATATTAATGAAGGCATTGAGACATGGCTGGTTGAAATATTCAAAACTAATGGTAAACGAACTACGGATTTTTGGTTCAGTTAAAATTCCACCTGTGCCTGACTAACTATTATCGATTGAAGGCTTTTCAAATATTTAGAAGTATAATTTGATTTCCACGAGAAATCATACACCAAACAAAACAATGAACACGCAAAAAATTTGAGAATGCAGTTTAACAGAGACCACTTGCTAACGTTATTTGTGAATGGCTTTAATTGCAGAAATAATTGTAAACACAATTTAATACTAGTTTCAATTTTAGTTGCGTTGAGCCACAATTTATAAAACGAAATATTTACGAAAAAATAGGAAATAACGGTGTTATCTAAGTTAGTTCCCGTTCAACTTGTCCGTATTTAAGATACTTTTTGATTTCAAATGAATCCGTTTCATGTGTTTCTTGACATATCTTTGTAAAGCAAATCTCTTTTCACATATCTCACATGCATACGGCTTTTCGTTGGAATGTGTTTGCATATGAGCATTTCGATTAGTGTCATGGCTAAATGCCTTCCCACATAACTTACAGATGAACGGTTTTTCACCTGTATGTGTACGCATATGAATATCCAGCTTGCGCTGTTGCACCTTAATGACGCCACATATCTCACATTTGAATGGATACTCATTAGTATGCCTTCCCACATGCAACTTTAAATTTTCTTTACTCGCAAAAAATATTTTCTCCTTTGTGTGAGTGAGAATATGAGTAGAAAGCTGAGACTTGCAGCCGAAGGGCCGTTCACAGATTTTGCAAACAAATCTCTTCATATGTCGATTAATATGTTTTCTCAAAGTACTATTGTCACAAAATCCTTTTCCACATTCATCACATTTGTATGGTCTTTCTCCTGTATGTTGTCTCATGTGAATAGTTTTATTTTGTACATTGCAAAGTACTTTTCCGCAAACTTCGCATTCGACCAACTTATTTATTTCAACTTTTTTCATTTCAAAATAATAAAACACAGCCTGCTGCAAATTAAATATCATTACTGAAAATAAGAAAACAAGGATGCAACTAAGTTTGTTGTAATTTAATTTTCATTATGACCTCCGACGAGCTTTACTTCAGTTGCAAAAATTCTAAATTTGTCCCGCAAATACTGCGATGGACCAAGCTAAAACTTGCTGCCAGTATATGCAATTTGCACGCGGTCAAATCTTTTGGGGAAACATCCATGGTGCTAGCTTGAGGTAGATATCTCATGCTGTATTATAACTTGAATTTACCTAAAATGAAATATGATTGTTGCAATTGGGCACGCGAAGTATGTGGACCAAGATGGTGGACACCGGAACCGATACAAATACTACGGGGATCACTTGGCTAATCCCCGAATTCATAACATAACTGAAATAGGAAAATTGGAATAAAATTATGGTTTAACCTTAACCTGGTAGACATACTACGTTCTGGTGTCCGCCATCTGGAAACATGGCTTATAAGTAATAATTTGATATTGAGACATGAGAAAAAAGCAATTGGTTGTTTTCGTGTGTAATCTGACGTTAGGCATAAGAATATTACACTGACCGACTCAGCTAGAATTACGCACGAACAAATCTGTTAATATATGCGACTGTCGGCTAAAAAATACATATGAACTTCAAAATGAAAAGCCAATAATATGCCTGTTATTTTCACTAATAACAAAGCTAAAACATCTGAGGCACGATCGCGCCATACAACAGCAACAAATAGCTAAATCAGCAAAACCATAAGACCACATCGTGCTCGATAAATTCTTTGTGGTGGTTGTGATATTGGTTTCAGTTGCTATTCTAGTTCATTGTTGCCGAGGGTTTATTCCGTGATTTTAGATATTCAAATCCGTTTACTATATTTATTCGGATTAGTGCCCAGTGGTTTTAACAGGGAATACAAAATTCTATCCTATGTCGCCTCTGAAAAACGCTTCTTCAACGATCTCAATTGAGCAATTTACGCAGCACAGCGCTGAGATCCAGCTAAGCATACTTTACTTCAATCAGCTTCAGCGCTCAAATCCTCGATATTGCGTCGAAACATACACGCTTCAGTGGTTTCTGCAGCCTCAGAATTTTCTGTTCGTTTTATTCTATCGATGAGGCGGATGGAGTGAAACATTTCCTATTCTCCGGCCTTTGTTAAGGACTAAGTATTTGATATATATGAGTGACTAATACTAATAGATGGACTGTTAATAGATCAGATCTCAAATAATGCAAGTACTATAAATATTATTGAGAAATATTAGTGGTGGATAATAGTGTATAATAAATAGATGGGCTGCTAATAGAGCATGGTTTTGCTCTTAAGTGCACAATATAAACATAATCTGAACGTTGGTGAACCCACCATTCTAGGTAAACCATGGCATCCTACAAAGTTATAACTACCCCGTTTGATTTGGCTCCAATAACTCATGATCTCTATCCTACTCGTACACATCGATCAGCCTAATATGTGCTACTACTACTAGGTCAATCTCATAGACCGGCGGTTCTCAAACTTTTTTCTACAAGGAAAAATGCTGCTTACCTATAAAACTCAATTTTGTGATAAAACAACAAGTAGGTCTAAGCAATAAAGGCAAAAAGTCAACTCTTTTTTCTCATCACTGCCCGATTTTCGTTTAAAATGCTAAAATAATCACTCATGTCCACTAAACTCGATTCAGCAGATAAATAATATTTCCAGAAAGTAGTGGTTATCTCTATTGTTACGTAACAAAATTATTTCATGTGAATACTAAGTAAAGAGCCTGGCCGATTTATATATTTAGGTATATTCAAGAAAAGTCTTCTTATCTACGATATATAAGGTTAGAGAGGATGTGAAACTAGAGATAAGCTACCAATAAAAAAAACACTATTGCAATTTGCAAAGCAACTATCATTGCTGAGACCTTCATATCGGCAGTGGCCCTTCTCTCCGTGAAAGTAGAGGCTCTTATCTTCTATGGCGCTATAAACTTTGTGAACGCTGAGGCTTTAAGCATTTCTTATCATGTTCACTTTCAATAAAGTTCTAAGTTTTTCTTTTATGGAGCTAGACTGATTAGGAACGCGAGGGCTCTTCCATTTTGGTCGAACCCGTAAGAAATAACGCTTGTTCCTGAATACTCGTGATCAATTTGTCCCTACTCAACTTCGCCTGTAATTGAGATACTTTCTGATTTGAAATGAGTCCGTTTCATGCGTTTCATTCTTGACATATTTTTGTACGGCAAATCTCTTTCCGCATATCTCACATGCATACGCCTTTTCGTTGGAATGTGTTTGCATGTGAATATTTCGATAACTGTGATCGCTAAATGCCTTCCCACATAATTTACAGATAAATGTTTTTTTTACCTGTATGTGTACGCATATGAATATTCAGTTCACATTGTTGCACCTTGATGACGCGACATATTTCACATTTGAATTGATATTCATTCTTATGTCTTCTCATATGCAAGTTTAAACTATCTTTGCGTGCAAAAAAATTATTGCAAATAGTGCACTTAAATCTTTTCTCCCTTGTATGAATGAGAACATGTTTGAAATGAAGGGTGAAACAAGGACTTGTAATAAATGCAATCAAGTTAGGTCTATTGTTATGACGATGGAGTAGCAATGAATGTAGACGCCAATCATCCGAATACAAAAGAAACTATTACCAGAAAAAATGAATTAAGAAAAGCAAGACAGTAGATAATAAATGCTCGAGATAGTGAGAAACCTAGACTGCTCCATCATTTGCAATGTTTAAAAGATGTCGAAAGCGTATTCTCAAAGCCATCAGAACAAATTCTAAAGCTGCATCCACAAAAGAATTGACAGATCTTACCACTGCTGGATTAAGAGCCTATATCCTATATCCAAACTCAATTTACGGAAGGCATGACTTGGGAGAATCGCGATCAATGGGACCTGGATCATCGAGTTCCGTGTTTTTCTTCTCCGATTTTAGTGATTCAGATCAACAGAAGATTTGTTTCTGGCATAAAAACTTGCAGCCAATGTGGAACAAAGAGAATATGGAAAAGAGTGCTATGTATAACGAGGAGGACAAGCAGGCCTTAATTTCTGTATATTATAGTCAATTCAACATAAGTAAACTATATGATGGAACAAAATCCTTGTCGACAAGCTTGTCAGATCGGTTCTGACCAGAAACTTCGGGAAAAGTGTAAACCGCTACACTTCTTCGGAAACTTGGCGTCACCATGGACAAATACATGAATAAAGTTGAGAAAAAAAAAACTCAATTACTAAGTGAAGGTATTACTGCTCTTCAGGAATCCGAAATCATTATCCAAAACACTTTAACATCAAATCCCCATGTCCATCTGAGATCTGACACGTATTTCTGAAATCCCAGGAACTTCCCAATAATCTATTACCCCCACCACTTCCTCCGTTCCAAACCTATCAAAAGTCTGTCAAACACCTAAAAAAAAAACTTCTGATTACAAATCCCCGAGGAGTAAAGTAAAAGCCACAGAGACTCAAAAAAAAATTTCCGAATAGGGTAGGTTATGTTCATATTTTAACAAAAACGTGATGGGTTTCCTTGAATACAAAGGAACCCTGAGTATATCGCAACTAGCAGAGATAATGGCAGAAATGACAATTTCGCTAAATGTTATATTGAGATTCTTATGGACGTGTTAAAAACGTAAAAATTAATTTATTTTTGACTATCTTTTGTACCCTGCAGGACATCTAAACAGATTTAAAAGGCACTGTGGCTTTTACTTTTTGTAATTTTACTCGTATACTGTATACATATACAGATATATATAAAAAGCTATATTCCTTGTACATACTAGAGATGTATCGGTAATCGGCAATATCGGCCATTTTTTTTGTATCGGCCATGTATCGGTATCGTTTAGATTAAGGCCGATATATTTACCTTTTTTAAAAGATAAGTTGGAATACTACTTTTTAATTTTTTTTTCCTGGAGAGATCGTGAGCTATGAGCCATACATCTCTCCAACCCCGCGAGAGAATGGGATTCGCGTGTTTTTAGCTATTTATCAGCTCAACTAGATTGTCTATTTTCGCTGTCATATTTTTATATTGACATTTTAATTTTGTTCAACTACGCAATTTCTTTATAGATTTATTGACATGACCGCCTAGCCCTAGACTGTCTCAAAATATATGATAGCAATTATATAATGATATAAAATAGTAAAGTAAAAAAACATTCTCGATGGTTATGGGTAGGCCTTCTTTTGGTCGGTGCTGATTGATATTCTTTCATGTTGGCTTTGACTTATTGCGTCGACGATAACAATTAGCAACGAAATAAAATATTTGTAAAATGCTTTTAATTTGAACGTAGGACGGCGGCTCTAGAATGTGTGGGTGATATTTGATATTCTTTTAAACACGAATAACGATATTCGAAGGTCGCGAAATTAACATTAAATTCAAATTGGACATCCCGGCTTACGAGTTTTCTAATTGAACACCGAGATTACTAGCGTTACTTAGCGTACAATGTATGTTAATCAGTTAAAACATATGGATACCAAACATTAATTTCATATCATGTTATATATCTTTTTTTCGATCTGAAATAGAGTGTACTATGAACAACGCTCGATGACCATTGTTTTAACCCGTCTGCCCTACACAGCACACCTAATTAAGTAATATTTACATAGTATCGCAATATCGGCCTTTCTGTAGTATCGGTATCGGCGACAAAAATGGTATCGGTACATATCTAGTACATACGTTATTGCGTGTTATCTTTTTACATCAAATAAATATATTTTCTTCTTGTCTCCATTTTCTTTGTGCATTTTGTGGTATGGTATGGTGGTAGGATATTGTAGATGCAGCAAAGAAAACATGGACACAAATAAAGGTGTGATTCATATGCCTGTTTCGGCAGACCAACGAAGTGGACGAAGATTGGAACCTATACTCGAGGTAGAAACAAGCGCCAATAAATTATATCCTGGCACATGTCACCATTTCCTACAAGACTCCACGGCCGTCATTT